GCTTTCGCCCGCGAAGCCGTCCGCGTGAAAGCAAAAAAAAAAAACAAATACACAAACTCTCAAACATCCATCAATCTATCTAAAATTTTGCATTTATAATAAATATACTAGCTTTGGCCCGCTACTGCGTCTGCGTGAAATTAAACAAAAACAAAAGGAAGTAGCCTATGTCTTCTTCCAGACTATGCTTTAAATCTATGCCGAATTTCATCCACATACATTCAGCCGTTAAGGCTATAAACTCTAACAAACATCCATCAATCCTTCTAAACTTTCCCATTCATAATATTAGTAAGAAGTAAGAGAATGGTGCAAGAAACCTCCTAAATCTGTTCCAGAATGATAGCCTAAAGAGGTTAATGTCATTTATACGCGACATTTCCTTATGGCGTCTATTATTGTATTTATTAACAGCTTTTGAGTTAACGTTCTTATACCCGATTGTTGCTATAGAGTGAAATGAGGTCATCTTAAAAAGCACAACGTTGCCTTTAGCGTTTTTCCACATAACTATTAGCCGCGCCACTGTCGCTCATCTAACCAGAAACTCCAATGCCTTAACACAACTGTTTTAATATATTTTGTTATCCCTTTTATTCTCTTTTACTAAAACACAATAAGCATACAAATGTTACTGGAATCTAAACTCTTCAACAATCGCCGTCGCGCCAGTGGAAATAGGATGATTCCATACAAAAGGCGGTCACTCCGTTAGCCGCCAAGTGGAAATTGAGTGTTAGGAACTGCGTTCAAAGCGGCATAATAAATTCTCACTGTGTTTGCGACACTAATTACTTGCCACTCAAGTTTAAATCGTTAATCCAGTCAGTCTTTGAACTAGGAATAAAGGACGCTTTGTTAACCACAGATAAAATACAGGTCAAATGGTTTTTTTTTATTTATAAATAACAAGAAAAACAATTTTACAAATCTGAGCTATATACTGGCATAATTTAATGATGATAATAAATGAGGTTATATTTCGATATTTAAAAACAATTTGATATAGATGCAAAACATTTACAGTCACGGCTTTGAACAGACACGACTAGATTTTATATTCCGTCTGACTTTTATGGGCAGTGGCTGCTTTATCCATAGACGAATGCTTTTAACTATACTAACAATATTGTTTTGTTTCCTACGTAACCGTGTCCGAAATTTGGACGATATGTCCAACTTATTAGTGTTTATAACTGATGTATTCATTAATGTATGGTAGATCCATATTTTCCCTATTGTCTTGATTTTAAAACATGCTACAAGATATCAATTTTTTATTGAAGGTTAAGTCGCAAGTTAATGCAACTGCAATAATAATCATAAAAGAAATATTGCTATTTAATGTCACAGGCGCTATTTTTTTTAAACCTGCTAACAAAAACAATTGTTGTTTAATATAACCAAACATCTATCTATCCTACTGTTTTCTATTATGTTTTTTCATACATGTTCATATACCGCGGAGAATCTAATAAAAGTATAATATCACTCAACTTCCGTGAAACTCAACAATTGCTCATGAATTTTGATGAAGCATTTCCTTTGAGACGTTTAAAGTCACACAGTTCCCTAATAGCACACTTCGCAGAGAAAGTTCAAATAAAGGTTTTGATGAGGCACGATACCCTTTAAGAGAATAAATTGTATCCATAATCAGATCTAAATGTAATATTATATAAAATTTCGTTCGTTACTTCCTTCGTATTGTCCAACATGACCATTAAATATAAGAAAGTTGGTTCTAAACGACGTATAGAGTGAATTATTAATTTGACTAATGTATGAAAGACTGGAGTGAATGTAGGAAAAGACAAAGAAGCGCCGATATAGCCGTAACGTTTTCTAGGTTAAAGACGGAAAAAATAAGTTTAAAAAATTATATTTATCTAGTAAAATAGGGTTAAGGATGAGTAATATAGTGATTAAATAGGAAGACATTATTTTACCGTCCCAACCTTACGTACTTGTGTCGGCGCCGTTTCCGCTACTCCATACCAGATGGCACTGTTTATTTGTTACATCACGATTCGTAGATGTTTGTCTTGTAAGATATGGTTCCCTCGAGTTGAAATTTCTTTTCTTCGGTTTTTTGTCTAGTGGTTTTCTTTGCATTCTATGGTTGTTTTTGAGGTTGTTTGTTCTGTAGTTTTAGTTCGATTTGTGGAGTCTTTTTATTGTGGACCAAGTTTCGCAGGAGTGTGTCAACATTATGGATAAATATAAACAAACCAATGGACATTATTTGAATACTTTATAATTTCGTTAATTACAATCCGTAAATAATGAGCCTTAGAGCTTAACGTCAGTTGCTAATTATTCGCCAGCTTATTCTAAGTAAGCTTAAGCGAATTAAAACTTTAAGTATCTTACTAATGGCATTTGTTAGTGGGATTACCTATCTCGGTATTAATATTCTTCGAAGGATTATCATATACTCGGACAAGTAATATTTATTTAAAAAGAATTGATTCAAAAGCTATGAAATGTTAATTTATGTGTCCAAATCTTGGAGAAAACACTTGGTTTTATGCCTAAGAATGTTTTTACACTAACTGTAGCCCCAGGCTTTGCTTGCGTGGAATTAAAAAAACTTTCGCATTGGTAATATTAGTAAGTAGTAAGATTTTCTCACAGAACTAATCTCTATAACAGCGCCAGTGTGGCGCCAGATAAGTTCGTGAGACTATATTACTTTTAAAAGAAAGTGAAGAACAATAACTTTTAAAATAACATACTTTCTAAAAAAAGAATTGTTAGTAATTAATTATTTTTTAATAGACGACGTAATTCAAAAGTACTTTGTATGTAAGAAATTATTGAAAGGCGTGGCGCAGCTCTGCCCCTCAGTATCTCAGTTCTTCAGTCGCTCAGCTAATAGTCGGTTTAGTCAGTTTAACAGTGGTAGTGCCCGCTTTAACATCTTAGCACGAATGGGCCGGCACGCCCGGTGTAAAACCACGACCACACAGAAGACAGGCGTGAAATGGAAGCAATTCCGTGTTTCGTCTGATGAGTGTGGTGCCGGAGGCCTAATTTAAGTCCCTTTCTCTTTATCACCCTTTTCTTATAAGGAGAGGATGGGAACGGGAAGTGGATTTGACGGTGGAGGAGATGCATAGGAAGGGGAAATATCCTCTTTATGTGCGTCTCCTCCTCCGTCGTATAAGGGTAGGCAACGCATCTGCAATTGCGGATGTCTATGGGCAGCGGTCGCTTCACCATTTTGGCGGATTCAGGTGGCCGCTTGCTCGTTTGCCACCTTATGTTATAAAAAAAAAAAAAAAAGTCGTAACCAAAGAACGTTCAATATCTTTACGTAGTTGCCTTAGTGTTTGTCTAAAGCAATTAACTTATATTGCTCATATGACCATTCGTATATAATTTTTAAAAAAATAATTTGTATCGAAATATCTAACAACGGTATATCTGATTGGTAGATCTACCTAAAATTGAAACCCCACATTCAACACACTTCAATCTCGGTCTAGTCCTGTCACACGATGCAAGGAACAAAAGGAACTGAAATGTCGGCGTAACTACCACAACGCAACAATACAAATGTAGTTAAAGTGACCTGTATATCTTGTGTTTAAGGTTCGATTTCGTGTATTTGAAATGAATAAGTAACGTGGGTGTTCCGAAAACGCTCAGTGCTTTACAATCAATGTCCAATAGAGGTATCGCTGTTCACACGGACTTCCGTGTGTCTCTGATCGCTTTTCATGTAATTGCTATTTGAAATGGTACTCTCAATTCCATGTATCATTTCCTTGTGGAGAGTGTTTGTTTTTTACTTAGTAAGCCAATAGGCCTGTCGCTCTTTGAGAATTGATTGACTAATGAGTAATCGGAAGACGTCAATTAAAATTGTTCAATGCGTTTAAGTTATGTTGTATTCAATTAAAAACTAATTAAACAAATTTCCCTTTTAAAAGTGTCATAGCAAATGAACTCAGTTAAAAGTTTGCCGTTAGAATCAACCTTTATAATTAACTTCTGACGGATCTTTTCAAGCGGAATAGCTGTTAAAATAATGATTAGAGACGAACTTAAACTCGACCGAAACAAAACAGCTACAAACCAACTGTCAGACAAAAGTTTGTTACAATTTAGTCGAAACATTTACTGTATAAATAAATCGTTATAAGATGTCTCAACAATTTATTTTGAAGACTTGAATGACTTAATTACTTTCGTAACAGATTTTTAAATAAATAGACATTTACTACTTTTGTCAAAACAGATGTAAGCAAAGATTTTTATTTTATATCTAAGCTTGAAACTCTACCTTGATTGTATTTTAATACGTAATTATTTCTTTAATAAATATGTACATTTATGGGGTTCTTGTGGAAAATCACTTTAATAAGACTCGGATTTCTGGATTCCGTTTAAAGAAAACTGTAAATATTTAATAACTGAATAACAGATCACTTCACATAGGTGAAGTTGATTATTGACGAATCTATACTAATATTATAAAGGGGAAACTTTTGGATTTTTGTATTTTTATATGTATTGAAATAACTCAAAAACTACTGGGCCGATTTTAAAATTTCTATCACCGTTAGAAAGGTAATTTATCTGTGAGTAACATAGTCTATTCATTATATTTTTTTATTTTACGTGTGCAGAGTCGCCAGCATCAGCTAATCATTTATAAGTCATTAGCGGTATCACATTACAATCTATATAACTTTATGGTGTTTAAATATTATTCTAAGAAACAAAAGAAGTTAAACAGTTAATACGATAGTCATTAAAATTTATGACCTGGACGATGTTCTTGACCTCTTAGAAGGCACTAACAGATATAATATTTAGCCGCATTTTAACCGCAGCCTACAAAATGTAACACCATCAAGTACGAGTATAATGGTCATTACAAATACTAAGCAGTCTTGTCCCAAGCATTGTAAGGTTAATTAATTTATCTAGTATTTGAATATGAAATAATTCAATTATCAATAGTATGTTAATTAAAATAGTAACTCGAATTTAAGATTAAAATGATTAATTAGGAAAACATTGCTTGCATCATAAAACGTCATTTGGAGAATACTCCACATACGTAAAATCTGAATAAAAATCACATTAGATTTCTAAGAAAAAACTTTGATAGAAAGACTTTTACAATAATAAAGGTTACTTTTTGAATATATCTTGAAATATCGTCATCTTCTCCGTTTCATAATCGAATTTAATTTCCAATTTCTTATTGATGCTTAAATATGCTGGGGATTCTTCTGAAAATAACGGCCAAGATATCGAAAGATCACTGGTTGATAATGGTTTACTGAAAAATAAAAAGAAATTAGTACTTTTTGGTGGTATTGGCAAACATTGGTTTTATTTATTCACTGTTTTAGTTGTCATTTTTACCTGTATTTTGCAAAATTTGTCCAAAATTCCGTCATTATTTGTATCATTATCTTATCTGATTCATTAAAACCTACCAATTTATTTATTTGACTGGAAAATATATACGAACGATCATCGCAATGACCTGCTCCGTTAACATTTAATTTAAATATTTGACTCATATTTATATCTCCTACATAAGAAAACTCATAAACGTGTAACGGAACGCCAAATTTTGCCATCAATTTAGCTGAAATCCATATTCCTGATATGAAATCTAAATCGCTTAGAAAATCTATTGCTTTTTCATAATCATGTTCTAAATCATTGTCAAAATAAACTTTCCGAATAATATCATTACATTTTTCATCATTAAAATTATTGGGAACATATTCATTAAACATTTTAGTTTCCGACAAATCTTTCACAGAATTATTTCCCAACATATTTCTCAATGACGCTTCCTTACTACAAAATCCTTTAATTAAAGGTATTCTATTAAATTTCCCTTCCTTGATCATCTTAATTGGATCTCCAGTTAAAAATGATTCGTTATTATTATAATTATTTTCAATAATAGGTACAAATCCGAAACTTAATTTCTTAGAGTCCTCATCTGGGAAAGCTTTAGTGTTTGCTAGAATGAGTTCTTTAGTCGAAAGTGACATTAAATAGTCATAAATTTCACGCTTCTTGTTTATATCACCTTCATAGTTTAAATTCTTCAACAACATTTGTAATAGCTCCATAGGTTTTCTATTTAGTGACCACGAGTTAAGTATAGAACCCGATTGCAAAATTGCTTTGTGAAATAGTTGTTTAGTTGTCGTTGACCATAAAAGATATTCTATACAAGCCGCACCAGCATCATTACCAAATACAGTTACATTATTACTATCTCCATTAAAATAACCAATATTTATATTAACCCATTCTAATGCTTTAACTATATCTTTCAAACCCATATTACCAGCGACTTCAGGAATATCTAATGATAGGAATCCAAAAATACCCAATCTATAGTTAATAGTGACTAATACTACATTGTTTTCAACTAAATAATCAGGTCCAATTTCAGATTTAATAATGCCGTTTCCAGAAGAAAAACTACCTCCATGAATGTAGACCATAACAGGAAGAGTGTTATCTAAGAGTGATTTAGGCGTATATACATTTAAGTATAGACAATCTTCTGATCCAATGATATTGCAAGTTTTAATATCAAATTGAGTAGCGACATTGTTTTTTTTCGCGGTTGCAGCATCACGTTCGTCTTCCCATGTTTCTGGTGGTTGAGGAATCTGTGAATCAAATCAAAGACTTTAGATATTTAAAAGAACAACGAAGTGAGATTTTACATTTTAAATTTGGAATGAAGATACATTTTTTTTAATTCGCCGTAGACGAAGATGCGGCTTGCAGCTTCATTTAACATAATATTTCTTCATTCATACTTTCAATTATCAATTTGCGTTACATAAACTTACCAGTTAAATATAGGCAGGTTTATGATCGTCAATAAATCCAAATTTTAATCACTTTATAGGTAAACTAGCCTGTTGCTCGCGTCTTCGTCCTCGTGATATTAAAAAATGTTAAAAATATAACCTATGTTCACTGATTACTTTTCTAATGGTTAGATAATTTAAAAAATCAGCTTTGTAGATTTTTTTTTATAACATAAGGTGGCAAACGAGCGAGCGGCCACCTGAAATCGCCAAAATGGCGAAGCGACCGCTGCCCATGGACGTCCGCAATTGCACATGCGTTGCCTACCCTTATACGACGGAGGAGGAGACGCACATAAAGAGGATATTTCCCCTTCCTATACATCTCCTCCACCGTCAAATCCACTTCCTCTTCCCAACCTCTCCTTATAAGAAAGGGTGGTAAAGAGAAAGGGACTTAAATTAGGCATCCAGCACCACACTCATCAGACGAAACACGGAATTACGTCCATTTCACGCCTGTCTTCTGTATGGTCGTGGTATTACACCGGGCGTGCCGACCCATTCGTGCTAAGATGTTAAAGCGGGCACTACCACTGTCAGATGTTGAGTTATTTCAATACATATAAAAAAACAAGTCTTTCTTCTTTATACCATTAGTACAGATATAAAAGTATATATATCTAGTGCTGAATAGATTTAAATCTACGTCTAAAACGACATATAAAAGCATAAAAATAATTTATAATGTTCGTAAGATACGGTTTTCTTACCACGATTGGGTTGTTTTTTTTTTACACTACCGCATCACTTCAGCCCATGAACATGGCGCATACAACTGTGCCGAAATATCGGGAGCTAAAACAATTCAATCGTGGTAAGAAACCCGTATCTTACAAACATTATAATTGTAAAAACCACGACAGTTTAATGTTATATATTATAAAAATCAATATCTAGAAACAGTCTACCTTAAATCTTAATTCGCCGATTGGAGGTTTAGCATACGGCACCCCTAAAAACTCATAATACTCGAATCCACTATCAGTTTTAACCTCACCACCAGTTAATATTCCTTGAGGAATTGAAATTCTAACCATTGTACACTATGAAATTTGACAGCTTATCAGTAACTAAATAAAAAAAATACGTACAATATCTTATCAATATTAACATGTCTGTATAATCGTTGAAACAACGATTTGTCATATAAAGTTATTAACTTTCACCCGCGACTCCGTTCGCGTGGAATTAAAAAAATAAAACAGCCTGTGTTCTTCCAGAATCCTCTACATCTACCAAATTTCATCGAAATATATTGAGCCGTTTAGGCTACAAACTCTAATAAACTTACGTATTTACTCGTATAGTATTAGTATGATTAGGTAACGCTCTCATTGAAATAAGAATGATGTATATTTTTTACGGCTAATGATAAAATTTAAGGTACATTTCTACTGGGTACAGACAGGACAACTTATAGGGAAGGCTTCCATGACGAGAAAAAAATGGAACATTCATTTATTTATTGGCTTAGCTACAGTTTGTGAACTAAAATATGTTTACCGAAGTGAATAACGAATAGTGTTCTAGATAATTTAATTCCGCACTCGAATACACGGTCTTTGATAGAAATACAAAAAAATTAAATGCGATTTTCGTTATCAGCAACGCAAATACACCATCTTCCCGAAATCTGGAATTTTTCTTTTTAATAATACAAACAGACACTCCAATTTTATTAAATGTATAGAAGATATATATAAATCTAGATTTGACATTTACATATTTTAATCTTACTAATATTAAAAATGCGAAAGTTTAGATGGATGGATGGATGTTTGTTAACGTTTGTAGCCTAATCGGCTAAACGGATCTCCATGAAATTTGACACAGGTTTAGAGCATAGTCTGGAAGAACACATAGGCTACTTTTTATCCCGGGAATAGTTACGGTTCCCGTGGGATTCATTAATTTAGTTTTTTAATGTTCACTCGATCGTTCTGCAACGGTTCAATATATCTTATTGAAATTTGGCACAGGTATAAAACAAAGTCGGGAGTACACATGGGATAAGCTTCATCCCAGAGAAATGTCCGGTTCCGGAGGGATACGTAGCTTTTTGTAATTTATATCGTTCGTATGTTTTCTAATACCACGCGGACGAAGTCGCGGGCAACAGCTCATTGAACTATAAATATTTGATGGACATATCAAATTTCAATAAAATACGTCTTTAACATAAAATTATGATAATTTCTACTATACAATAACTATAATACAATGTTAAAAATATCCGAAACAAAACGAAGCAAAGTTTTACAAAATACCCGCAATAAGAGCGCTTAATGTCGGATAATGCGACCCAGTAATGGCGTCAACAGCGACTCTTAGTCGACGGATTAAAGTTTGCATATTCAGAATAGCTTAGCCTTTTGTGAGAACTCTTTAGTTTGAAAATTGCTGTTGCGTAAGATTGTATCGGACTTTATCTCGAATTGCGACCTTTGCAGTAAACCCTTGTTATATTTAAGTAATTTTATAGGAAAATGTGTTTTTGAACAAATATTTAAGGAATTCAAAGAGAGTAGAAACGAAATATTATTGCTTGATCTAATCTTGTTTAGTTGCAAAAAATGTATTAGAGAGCTTTAACGCAGTTTAAAGGTACAAATGAGAACATTGCCTTGTCAACTTAATAAATACTCCTTGGACATTACTGGGTAATAAAAAATGAAATTGTCTTGAACACATTGCCTAGGAATAGTAAGTATAGTACCCACCAAAAGTTCCAATCGATATACCATTAACGTTTCTTATTACCGTACCCAATCAAATCAGAGCGTCGGTGGTTCAATGGTTTAAGTACTTGACTTGTAATCTACAGGTCTTGGGTTCGAATCCCGCCATGTACCAATGTGATTTTCGATTTTTCGAATTTTCATATGTTGACATTTTTACGGTGAAGGAAAACATCGTGATGCAACCTGCACATATCGAAGAAATTTAAATATATGTGTGAAGTCTACCAACCCGCATTGGGCCTTGACTATGGCATAGTCACCCTAATTTAGGGTAGGCTCCGAGCTCCTCAGTAGGGTCGTATAGTGATGATGATGACCCTATCAAAACTATTTATTACATAATGTGAGCCATCATTCATTAACAATGTACAGGTGCATTACTATGTAAATGATTAAATGTAATTACATCTGGAATTCCACGGCTAACTATGCACCTAATTATGTTAAAATTATTTTTTTATATCACTAGCTGTTGCTCGCGACCTAGTCCGCGTGAAATTGAAAAAAATATAGCCTGTTACTCACAGATAGATTACCTTTCTAACGGTAAAAAAATATTTTAAAATCGGCCCAGTAGTTTTTGAATTATTTCAATGCATACAAAAATACAGATCTTTCCTCTTTATAATATTTGTCATGTATACAGTTTTGTCAGTTAAGAATAGATTGTTAAAATTATTGGAATTAAATATCAACATATAGAACTAAGAAAAAACCAAAGAAACTATTACGATATTAAACTCTTTTAAAATCCGCAATAAACAGAAACATCAAAAACTTATCAGAAATTTCATAAGAGGGTCGTAGAAACTTACTATACTCTTTAGTAGAAACTACGAAATGTTGGTCAAGCATAGGTACAGTCGCGGTAATTGCGGTGTTTCAAATATAGAAAAATTGCTTTGTTTCTTGCAATGAGACAAACTCCGTCTCTTCTTTCAAATAACAAATTGGATGGCAGTCAGATACGGAAACGAGATAGTAGTAATAAAAAGAAATTAGTATATCTGACCGATCTTTTTTGTAGAAACCCATTTGATAGCCGCCTTCTATTAATTACTGTTTCACACCTTTTTTAAATGCGTTTAAACGAATAGGTAACTGGATGGAACACATTCAAAAACCCCGACTGTACAAGATGAAAGTAGTCTTGGTTGGAAAGCTGAGAGTAAAATTATTTATCTTACGGGAGGTTGTTATGTAGTGTAATGAGGTGACAAAATACTATGTAGATATCCAGAAATGTAAAAAAAAAGTAGTATTTTTTGGTAATGACCGATTAAACCGGAATTAAAGATAATCATTCCCTGTTTTTTTTTTAATGTTTCCAGGTAAATTCTAATGCGTCTTTTAACTAAGTCATAATGCAACACTATCATATTTTATTCGACATTATATTGGCAACAATATCTAAATATAGACACGTGAGCGCTCGCTTATCAATAGTGTGCGAGCGAGACATCCCATTTTTGAATAAAAGCGTCTCTTTCGAAACGGGAACAACGCGTGGTTCGGACGTCATCGCGTCATATCGTACTTGTTCGGCGATCGTTGCTCAGTACATGCGTCAACTTTCTTCCGTATAGTTCGTTGTGCGCATGCGCTAACTATGTCAAACGGCTGTCCGTGATTTTCACTATTTGTCATAACTTCATCGCTAGCTCCATTAATTATCTTCCAGTTACATTTTTAATTAAAAAAAAAACGTTAAAAATGCTATCTGATTACTCAGGTTTAGAGCAGTGCGGTATAGCTTTTATCATTTTGGTTTTGTTATATGTGCTTAGATTTTTCTTCAGACTTATTTATTTGTGTTATCTGGGCCCACCTGTGAATCAAGTGGATTTCCCATCGAAGGGGAAATGGGCTGGTGAGTAAATTCCTTATGTTATGTTTATTAAAAGATACCATATAAGGGTTAAAAATCATTCAATTTAATTACATTCTTGCAGTTTATTTTGATTAATATTAAAATATGTTATTCTGTATAAATATAATTATTTATAATTATTCAGATAAGTAAATATAGTATGTTTTATATCACAATCCCTATTTATTTTGTTCCACATTTTACCAATCCGTTGATGCATTATTGATTTTTAGACAGTTTGACCTTGAACTATCCTCTTCTGATACGCCTATAGAAAGCATCGTTCTATCTCTTTCTTACAAAGGGAAATACAGTGATAGCAGTGTTTTCAAACTGGTGTTTCTGCAGTGTGAACTCACAGTAAACATAAATCATGTGTGTTTGCTGGAGATGGATTTTTAAGAAGTAATTTTATGCCAATGGTTTGGAATTCCAGTGAATAATGTATACACCTGTTGCATGCAGTATGTTTAGTATGGGAAAATAGTTTGATAACCTAGATAACAGATTTAGGTTACATACGTACGTATATTTATGTAATACTAGCTTTCGCCCGCGACTCCGTCCGCGTGGAACTAAAAAAAAAACAAAAGTGAGTAGCTTATATGTGTTTGCAGACTATCCTCTACTTTTACACCTAATTTTATTGAAATCGGCGCTAATACAAACTATAACATACATCCATACTTTCGCATTTATTATATTAGCAAGATTATATCGATGTTCCTTCAACGGTCTAAGATAATAAACTAGTTAAACGGCAATTTATTCTGTATCGACCTGTTTTTATCGAGTTTAAAACACGGGTATAGATAAATTAGCTATAAATTGTAGAATGTTGTAAAATAGTTTAATTATTCCTTACAGAATTAAAACGTCGGGTATGTACGTACATACATATGTAATTCGAAAATCATTGGGTACAATGCGAGATTCGAACCCAAGAGCTGTAGATTCCAAGTCAAGTGCTTTAACCACTGAGCCACCGACTCTCTCATTTAAAATTATTTAATTAAAAAGTTTTTATTAAATGTAAATTTACTCGAATGTTAAGGATATCTGCAAGGTTATGTCTTATTGCAGTTTGTAATATAAAAATATCTAAATACGAAAATTCAAGTTTAGTATTTAGTTTATAATCTTGCTGGTGGGAATTTTTTTGCATTTAAATATCCAGCCAAAAATGTTACTGGCTGTAATTACCTTCATAATTATTTCGCGTATATGTTCACTGTTTATACACAATTATTGTTATTGTCTATTCATAATTCAAGTGGTATATTTTTTTATTTGCATACAGAGAAAAAATATGTAAAAAAATTACAAATAAAAATGTTGCCAAACTGCACAGCAGTTTGTTGGCGACAAACACCCATCTTACTTCTTACTAATATTATAAATGCGAAAGTTTAGATGGATGGATGGATAGATGGATGGATGGATGGATGGAAGGATGTTTGTTAGCGTTTGTAGCCTAAACGGCTGAACGGATCTCTATGAAATTTGGTACAGGTTTAGAGCATAGTCTGGAAGAACACATAGGCTACTTTTATCCCGCGAATAGTTACGGTTCCCGTGGGATTCATTAATTTAGTTTTTTAATGTTTACTCGATTATTCTGCAACGGTTCAACATATCTTATTATAATTGGGCACAGATATAAAACAAAGTGTGGAGTACACATGGGATAAGCTTCATCCCCGAGAAATGTCCGGTTCCCGCGGGATACGTAACTTTTTGTAATTTATATAGTTTGTATGTTTTCTAATACCACGCGGACGAAGTCGCGGGCAACAGCTCGTTTCTTATAAACATTAATCTTACTATCTTACTAATATTATAAATGCGAAAGTTTAGATGGATGGATGGATGTATGTTTGTTAGAGTTTGTAGCCTAAACGGCTGAGCAGATCTTGATGAAATTTTACGTAGATGTAGAGGATAGTCTAGAACACATAGGCTACTCAATTTTGTTTTTTTTTTAATTCCACGCGGACGGAGTCGCGGGCGAAAGCTAGTTTCTTATAAATATTAATAATATATAATCTTATATATTGTAAATCATTTTTTGTTATTTCAGTCTAGATTTTACATACTTTAGGCAAAAAATATTAGCGTAATTGTATTCTTCATTACAAATGAATGACTTCATAATATAATTAAATAACCTAATGTTGTAACCATAATTCTAAATTACTTTTAACAACTTGTGATTCCAATATATTAAATTCTTTATTACATTAAGATCGGTCGCACCGTTGACTATACTATCGCACAAGTGTTGTTTGATTGTCGATTATTTTGCAGCGAATTCAATTGTTGTACAACTAAGAATCGAGTGGTAAACACCTCCATATAAGCTTATAGGAATCAAAGCGAGACAACAGTTTTGCGATAGTTTAGTTTAGTTAAAAAAAGAATATTTGATTGAGCATTCTTTCTTTGAATTTTCAGTCTTGACAGACATGGTATTGAACTAGGTGCTGTGACTATATTGTACTTTGGTTTTGATAACCTCAAAAAAACTTCTTACTAATCATATCATACTTCATACTAATGTTATAAATGCGAAAGTTTAGATGTATGGATGTTTGATAGAGTTTGTAGCCGAAACGGTTGAACGAATTTCGATAAAATTTAGTATGGATGTAGAGGATAGTCTGGAAGAACACATAGGCTACTTAGTTTTGTTTTTTTTTTAATTCCACACAGACGGAGTCACGGGCGAAAGTATTATAGATGCGAAAGTTTAGATGGATGGATGGATGCCTGTTACTATGTGTATATGACTAAACGGAACTTCATGAAAATTGGCTCAAATATAGAACATAGTCTGGAGGAACGTATTTACTTAATACGTTTTTAACTCCGCGTAAATGAAGTCGCAGGCAAAAGCTAGTTTTAAATAAATTTTAATAATTATTGTTAAATTTTATGTATGTAGATTTAACTTTAAAAAAATTAGCATAAGTAAAGCATTTAATAAAAAAAGTTGTCCGCTTTTGACCACTTATTTCTTCCTGAATCAGGTTGTCGCAAGGTTGCAATACTCTTTAAGATATAGGAATTATTTACCCTTACCGGAAACACGAGTAGCCGTTCACCTCGCATGACGTTTGTCCTGCCTGGATGTTTATAGACCGAATACTGAAACGCCATTTAAATATGTAAGCGTCTTAAATGATAAGGTCACGCTTACAAATAACACATTTTCACGTATATCAGAAGTGGAGTTTTCAAGAATCGTTTCAATATTTGACCGTGAGGCTTTTTATACTAAGTTTATCACTTGTTCTTTGTCGTTACGTATTTTGCCCTTATGAAGGAATTCAATTACCTTACTTGCCTTGATCACAGAGAAACCTTTTGCTTTTATTAAATCCATACTAATATTATAAAGAAGAATTGTATTTATGTAGTGAATTATCTAAAAACTACTAGGCCGATTTCAAAAATTCTTTCACAATCAAAAAGCTACGTTATCAGTGAGTAACATAGGCTATGTTTTTTTTTAGTTTCATGCGGACAGTCGCGGGCAAAAGCTAGTACTTGATATTATGAAGAAGATTTGTATTTTTGTATGTATTGAAGTAAAGCAAAAACTACTCGGTCGATTTCAAAAATACTCTCACCATTAAAAAGTTACGTTATCAGTGAATGCATAGGGTGAGTTTTTAATTATTTTTTTAATATCACGCGGTCCATATTGTAATATTAATATTAATATATTAATTAATATAAAATTATAAATGTGAAAGTTTGGATGGATGTTTCTTAGAGTTTATAGCCTAAAAGGCTGAACGGATCTGGATGAAATTTAGTCTAGATGTAGAGGATAGTCAGGAAGAACACATAGGCTACTTGCTTTTGTTTTAATTACTGCCACGCGGACGGAGTCGCGGGCGATGGCTAGTTTTAATATAATGCACAAGGCATATATATCGCATATAATTCAAATTGTGTTGCAAACATTAATTACAAGTTGGTATGATACGCACTTAATTACACGGAAGGTAATAATCGTAGTTAAGTACGTTAAAATTCCAAGGTCAGTTAATTTATTATTTTACAACATTATACTTCACATGCCAACACACGTGGTTGCAAATTATACAGGTATTGTGCCTTTTTAATCCGATAGATAAAGTGGAATTATTCCTAACCGTCACCCCACTATGTCCCCACGTAGGTATAAATAGTTTCAACCGTCCCACCATCACCAATAAGGAGGCAGATGGAACCGTTATGAAATTAAATAAGTTCTAACCGTCACTTCGTCGCAAAAAGTGAGACGGATGAAACTTTATTCTCATCTGTCTCCACATGGGGACAGAGCGGGGTGACAGTTGGGAATAAACCATAGTGTGTACTCAAATAATTAAATTTACTAACCATATCGCATATCGTAGAACTGTCATTACAAGAGCAACAATTTACAATGCACTATGACAATATAACATATAGTGTTTGACCGAAGCATTGTGGTATTTTATTGATATGGGTAGAAAATAAACTTCCCCGACTATATTTCCATTGAGTTCCCTTTCGAGCACACACTTTTCACTAGACTATCGCACATCTGTTTAGTCTCACTTTGATTCCTATAAGCTTATGCGGATGTGCGATCACTACTCGATTTTTAGTTGTGCAACTAAACAGTTGAATTGGCTGCGAAACAATCGACAATCGCACAACATTTGTGTGATAGTTTAGTCAAACTTAGCGCCCGCTCTTAGTCAAAATGATTATGACGCGTGACGTATTCGAATTGTATAATATTTATTTTATTACTTGACGATTTAGTTTTATTATAATAGTATTTGGTGTTTTTACCTCGATTTTCCCTAAATGATTACTAATAGTCGATATTTGAATATAATCTGTGATTTATTCTTGTTTTCAAGGTTTTAAATAATAGATACTTTTAAAAACATTGTTTCCTTTAAGTGACAATCATTATTAATTTGTTGATGAAAAAATGTTTGTCGTAAATTTTTGTTGTGACCTAGAATTTTTTCGGTCGTTGACATTAAAATGGAGGCAAGCGGCTATATTGGAAACAATATGTTCAAAGTGCTTTATGTTAATAGAGTTGACACGCTTTTGCCAAGACCTATTGACTGATATACCAAAAAAAAACATTTTTTAACGTTAAAACGCGTGTATTTTTTTCAATAGGACATTAACAGATTATAAATCGACTTTAATTAACTAAATTTATACCTTATTACAACGTGTCACAGTTCAATTTAGATTGACAAATTAACTGTGGACCATTACGGTACTTTGTAAACGTAACTTTCACCTTCACACAGCCAAGTTCAAGGAAAACTGGTCTTTGGCGAGAGAAGTACAAGGTCGTTTATTCCTTGTACGATAGATACGGAAGTTAAACATTTGTTTTAAAGGTAACTTAATGACATTTCCTTAGTTTGAGAAAAAAATGTTTTTTTTTTTTAATTTGTGGTTTAATAAAAATCAATACTTGCTTGGGTTTTACGGCGAAGTTTTGTACTTCATTTTTTTATTTTTTGTTTTTTTTACTTGTTTTTTAAGTGCCATAAGAATTGTTTATCTATACTAATATAATAAAGGGTAAACACACACAACTTTGTGACGTGAGATGTCAGCAATCACGGCATATTTTTGAATAATCCTTTCTTTAATAAAAAGCACTACGCTTAGGACACGCTTTAGGCTATTTTTTTCACGCTATTAAACTTAGGGGGAAAATACTTTTGGGAAAGGGACCATAAACTACAAGCTGCCAACATTACGGAAGCAAAGTTATGGTAACGGTAATTTTGACATTTGCAATTGAGAATTGGACAAATGTAAACAATAATTTTTTTTTTTAAATAATTCCATGCGGATGAAACCGCACGGGATAAGCTAGTTATTTATATTCACATGTCTCTTGTTTTGAATGTCATATTGTCAAACCGGACTAAGTTAGAGAGCTTGTTGTTTCTTGTTTTAAAAATTACCATATTTGCATTAGGTCGTTGACTTGAAAACCGCAGGACGAATCAATAGGAACGATCTTAGCACTCTTATGCAAAACACATACTAAATAATTTATTACAAATGCGTGAATCAAGGCACTTTATTTGAATTAATTTTGATCGACTCCGAGAATATTGGATACTAGCTGTTGCCCGTGACTTCGTCCACGTGAAATTTATAGCCTATGTTACTCGGCGATAACGTAGCTTTCTAAAGGTGAAAGAATTTTTTAAATCAGCGCAGTAGTTGAATTATTGCAATAGATACAAAAATACAAATCTTTCCTTTTTATAATATTAGTGTAGATTGAAAAAATGGCTACGTATATCCTGTTATTTGCAAAAAATGTAACTCTTTTTAAATTCGTTATGGCTGTTACAAAAAATCAATTACAATAAGATTGTGGATAGGAATCGGTTTCAAGGTTAGCTATTTACATATTTCTTTACGATAAGTTTTATAACACGTGTAAAATATGTACGCACTATCTGTCGCCCGCGACTCCATCCGCGTGGATTAAAAAAAAGCAAAAGTGATTAGCCTATGTGTTCTTCCAGACTATCATCTACATCCATACCAAATTTTATCGAAATCCGTTCAGCCGTTTAGGCTACAAACTCTAACAAACATCCATCCATCTAAACTTTCGCATTTGTAATAGTAGTATGATAGGCGTAGTCAGTTTATGATCTAGGTAAGTCTAAAGGGGGGGGGGAGGGCAGCTAGTATATTGTGCTAGTATAGTGATATGATCAAGAAGGGAGTGATGACTGAGATGACGGATGATAGAGTGTTTTGGAGAACGAAAACCCGGTGCGCCGACCCTACGGGAGTAGGATAAGGCAGGGGAGATGATGATGGAGTGCCAAATGTGTCAGATTAAAAAAATACTTATATCAAAGTTTAAAAAGATATAGTTTAAAATAACGGACGTCCAAAAAGTAAATTAAAATCTGCAATATAAATATGTAGCGTTTGATAAAACTAAACTGATGGCTTTGTTTATGGACGGGTTTAAATTTGATAGGATCGAGTGGCGCGCTTCGCTACGATTGGAAACGAATTAAAAATGATTGCTTTGCAGCCTACAAAAATAACCAACGAATGTAACAAAATAATATTAAAAACTACATGTAAACATTATCGGATTTTTCCTTGTTGCTTAAATAATGCAATATTATAAAAATACCCGCATCACAGGTCCCTGAGAAATATATGTCAGGGGAGCGACGAGAGCGGCAGAAGCCGCAAAAAAACAAAAAAAAAATAATGCAATATTTATTGAGACTATCGTGTTTGGTAATTGTAGAAAATTTAACATCAACATAATTAAAGAAAACAGAGCGCCAAATATCATCGTTACCACCTTGATGGTTGGCATTCCACAACGATGAGGTTTTCACGTACCTTCTTACCTTGTACAGCCGCGTTGTGGAATACTCTGTCCTCAGCGGTCTTTCTTTCCAAGCAGTTACGACTTAGGGTCCTTCAAGAAAAGAGCGTATTCCTCCCTTAAAAGCCGGCAGCGCATCTGCAGTTCCCTTGGCGTTGCAGATGTTTATGGGCGTGGGTACTTGATACCAAGCGATCCGCTGCTCGTTTGCCCGCTTTTTCTATATATATAAAAAAATCAGTCTCTAAATAGGGAGCTGTAATGTTAGCTAGTTTAAATAATCGACATAGTAGTTGAAGTTTAACATAGCACAAAAACATTGTTCATAAAACATTTCTACCGGAAATGAAAGTTTCCACGTGTGGTAAACTTATATAGGAGTTTCCAGTATTCTTACAGTCGCACCAATCATCGTTCAGCTTTGGAACTCGTTAACAGTTCGCAACGAGGAAATGTTGCAACTCACAAGCCCGAGGGGTTTGCCTCTTTGACTTTTACTTTATTTGCACTCGGCTTATCGACGTGTTTCTAAACTCCCCTTTGAGGGTTCCCTGAACGATGTATCAAGCACGTGCTTTCCAAGTTTACCTCTTGTTTGTAATGTTAGTTACGTACTCGTAAATGGCTCGAAGAATTTTTGAAATTCGAATACCAGTCGAGTAGTGTGATCACTGATCGTACACACTGGCGCACTAAGACTGGCTTCGAAACTACTTAGGTAATTCCTTAGTATAGATTTATTATACTAAATCTACAGTTAGTGGTCATGACCACTTAGTATAATACCCGTAATTCTTCTAGATATAATCTGTGTCTTCGTTAATTGTTTCTAAAACCATTTATAAAGGTGTGCACTCATTAAATCTCAAAAATGTATGTTAAAAATCTATAAATTTCTCAAATGACGCAATAACATCCCATAACAGACCATTCACGTGTCAGCTTAATGTGTCAACACCCTTAGAATTGCGCGTCGCATTTTCACGTGCCTCTTGGAGCCATTAAAACTCCAGTAAATTACGTGCTTTGATCTTAAGTAAATACTCCAAAGCGTCTCGACTATGTAAGAAATTTCATTAACTTTTAGATCTTCGCTTTATTTTGAATTATGTTATCTTTTAACAACACGGCTTTCATAATGTGCAATATATTTCCCGTTGGAATTTCGTCAAAAGGGTTGGAGACTAAGTAATTACGAGTATAACCAGAATTTCAATTAATTTCTCCAAGTCCTGCTAAAATTCCACTGCATATTATAACATTAAATTCTAATAGAGTGCATATACAATGATTATACCTACATTAGTTATTGTGGAGTAAAAAAATAATTAATAACATGTAAATAACCCTTGACGCGTAATCTATACGTTTCTGATCTTTAACCACAAATATCTTGTTATTAAAGATACCAGCAATTACGGGAATCGACATTTGCTTAATAAAATGAAAAATAAAACATAACAATATGATTCTTACTGTAATCGCTCTTAATCTTACTCTAACTAATATTATAAATAAAAAAAAATGTGAAAGCTTAGATGGACGGATGGATGTTTGTTAGTTTATTGCCTAAACGGCTGGACGGATTTCGATGAAATTTGGCATAGATGTAGAGGATATATGGAAGAGCACATATGCTACTCATTTTTGTATTTTTCAATCCCACGCGAATGGAGTCGCAGGCGAAAGCTAGTGTATATATAAAATAATTAGTTATTATTTTCTAAATATAAGTGAAGTTCCATCACTGAGCAAGAACTTCACCTTAACAATGAAGTTTTCATATTATCCCACAAGATAAAAGAGTTTTCACATTTATTGTATGTTTTGTTTCAGTTATTACCGGATGTACTGATGGCATCGGCAAGGAATACGCACATCAGGTATGATTTACAATGTTAGCATGATATACAGTGTTTTTGGTAATTAGATGTATTGCCGTTAGAGGGTAATAGAGGGGATAATTCGTGATAATTTTGACCCCTATGTGCATTATCCAAAAGTTAACCGTTTTCAAGTAATCTTGATTCAAAACTTTATTTAAAAAAAAACTATCATTTATAACTAATTTTTTTCTTTGGATTTATAAAAACCATTAAACACTGATTATTATACAATATAAAAACATAATTTATCTGTCCAAATTTAAAAAATGCGAGCTAAAGAAACATTTTACTTCAATATTTTTCGAGAACCTCGTCCATTGAAATGCCTTAAAAACGAAAAAAAAAATATGGAACTTGGTCTGCTGATTTTTTTTTAAAAACATGCCCGTTTCCTTAGCTCTCCAAAAATTCATAATAACCAGGAACTTGTCACAAGGCCACTGAAATAAACACAGGATTTCAATGGAATCGGGCGGTATTCGTACTCGAACTAAAGTTACGGTTAGTTTTTAAAACTCTAATAAAAGTAATTAAAAACATTAACAAACGTAAAATAAACCAATATATGCAATATACCCCTGTATATTATGAAGGAAGAATTGCATGTGATTAGGAGAGCTTTAAATGTAAGGGAGGGTACATTAATAGGGGTGTATCTAGAAGTAGGCAGCGTGAAAGGTGGCATGATCAAGAAGGGAATGATGACAGATGACGGAGGATAGATTAAATTGGATGATGAAAATCTGATGCATCAACGAGAAATGAGTGAGATGAAAATTGGGATATGAAATTTGTGTTATTTTGTTTATGTCGTTGTTGTTGTTTGAAATTATAATTCATACTGATATTATAAATGCGTAAGTTTAGATGGATGGATGTTTGTTGAAGTTTGTGGCCATAACGGCTGAACGGATTTCGATAAAATTTTGTATAGATGTAGAGGGTAGTCTGGAAGAACACATACGCTACTTTGCTTTGTTTTATTTGCACGCGGACGGAGTCGCGGGCGAAAGCTAGTATTTTTTTTATAAAGAAACACGTAGAAGTAGTAAGGAGATATTATTTAACGATTTTTCACGTTTTTATATGTTTACTAGCTTTCGCCCGCGACTCCGTCCGCGTGGAATTAAAAAAAAACGAAAGTGAGTATGTGTTCTTCCAGACTATCCTCTACGTCTATGCCAAATTTCATCAAGATCCTTTCAGCCAGGCTACAAACTCTAACAAACATCCATCTATCCATTCATCCATCCATTCATCTAAACTTTCGCATTTATAATATTAGTAAGAAGTAGGATGTATTCGTAGACTTTCGTATATGTAATATTTCCTACTAATTTAATAGGTTATTTTATATTCAAGGTTGTATATTTGATATCCATTTATGCGTGACTTTTTAAAATGTACATATTCACATTTACGTCAACGTGTTTGAATTGCAGATATGTATTTAATACGATGTATTACTGAAAAACGGTATTTTAATACGGTAAATAAAATTTTTTTAATAAAAAGTTTTTTACCTTTTACATACTGTCTTAAATACTTTGACCATTATATGACTAGACTCAGCAATTTGTCCGCATGAAAAAATATGAAATATTACCGTCGAAGAAATTATATTTGCACATCATTTGAAAAGTAATTATAGAATAGAGCGAAAGGCCTTTGAGATTTTCCTTTGAAAACGGGAACATCATCAAGGGACCTTTTAACTGACATAGGATTAATAAATATTCAAAGCGTTTGAGGTACGTGCCCACCGCAATTTATTTATAAAATTAAATATTTACTAAAGATTTTCCTGTATAAAAAGACTCTCATGTCTGGTTTTTCTTGCAATCTTATCCTGGAATGACTGACTTAACAACCAAACTACCATAGTACTAGCAGTTTTCAGCGACACCGTCTGCAACTATCTGTGTTTACATGTAATAAAATTGGAATGTCTTGTAATATAATATCAAAAGACAAATTTCATATGTCGGAAAGTTAATTTTCATTGAAGGGAGCTGATATAGAATGCTATGCGAAAGTTTAGATGGATGGATGGATGTTTGTCAGAGTTTGCAGCCTAAACGGCTGAACGGATCTCGATTAAATGCGGAAAAAATGCCTATGGTACTTATTTTATCTTATTATTGGGTAGACGAAGTCGCAGGAAACAGCTAGTTTTTCAATAAAATCAGTAATTTACGAATATCTTTAACTTAATGAATAATGTTTTTGTATTAATAAATAGTTTAATATTTGCTCATATAATCTTGTACGTTTACTCAAATGGCAAACAATGAATACACTATTATAAATAAATGTACCTTTGCTCCTTGTTAAACATTCTATAACAAATATTGATCAAGCCGTAATGTAAATAACGCCATTTTGCCTTCTCGGTGTATTTGAATACAATTCGTATTTAGATTTGTTTGTTCGATTAATGGAAGTATGATGTGGCGATTTTTAAAATACATTACTTTTATTTGCTTTTTTTTATATTATATGGTGGCAAACGAGACAGTGGCCATCTTAATACACCGAAAAGGAGAAGCGAGCTGGCCATAGACTGCAGATGTGTTGCTTACCCTAAATTGACGGAGGAAGAGATGCATATAAAGAGGATAACATTTTATACATTAGGCCGGGATCGTACTACGCTTTGCTAGAACACAGATACACGACAGATTAGTTAATAATAAGCTGGTCCATACAAACATTAACACAATAGTCACTTTGATTTAATCTTACTAATATTATGAATGCGAAAGTTTAGATGGATGGATGGATGTTTGTTAAAGTTTGCAGCCTAAACGGTTGAACGGATCTCAATGAAATTTGGCGAAGATATAGAGGATAGTCTGGAAGAACACATAGGGTACTCACTTTTGCTTTTTTTTAATACTACGCGACCGGAGTCGCAGGCGAAAGCTAGTGATTTCTTAAATTTTTGTTTGATAATTATCAGTTAAGGCCACTTTACATTCTGTTATAACAGTATAGAGTTAACAAGATGCACATTTTGCTGCGAATGATGACCTAGAATAAATAAAAATCCTGGAATAGAACGCTTTTATTCAACTTATTCATGAGTTTCAAACACGTTATTGAATATCATTTTTTAAAGACAATCAAAGGTATGACTGTATGAGCAGTGAAAACGGACACTAATAGCACGTATTTTTCAGCTGGCAAGCCGCAGCTGTAACATCGTGCTGATCAGCCGCTCGATGACAAAACTGCAGGATACTGCCCAGGAAATCGGTAAATAATTTGAACTTTTCCACCTTTAATTTCCATTTTAAATGTCTCACAGAGTGTCAACATGTCGGTTTGCTAGTTTATTTAAAACGAAAAATTGTTATGGCATACATGTTAAAGTAAAAGGTAAAAAATGGACCACCATTTGTGGGCGAAAAACATAACTCATGTTAACAGGAGGAACTAACTTTATACAATGAAAATCTAGCTCATAATGTATAATATCATATTATCGAAATGTTTTATGGACAATGAAGGTGACTTCGATGCTATATTTGTTTGTACAATGTATTTGTTCTTGTAGAAAATAAATACGGCGTGACAACAAAGATCATACAAGTGGATTTCACCGAAGGCGAGGAAATATATGACAAAATAGAAAAGGAGATTGCGGACCTCGAGATTGGTACCCTGGTTAACAATGTGGGCGTGTCCTATCCTTACCCGGAATACTTCCTGGACATACCCGATCAGTGAGCGAATAAATTTATGCCTCTAACAATCTGTCTGTCACAAATACTATTTTAATATATACAAATATAATAAAGCGTAAACACACACTACTTTGTGGCGTTAGATGTCAGCAATCACAGCATATTTTTGAATAAATGTTTTCCTATGAATAGCATAACACTTACTACACGCTTTAGGCTATATATTTTCACGCTATTAGGGGGTAATTGAATTGCAAAAAAATATACATGTGGGAAAGGGACCATAAACTACAAGCTGCCAACATTAAGGAAGCAAGGTTGTTATGGTAATGGTAATTTTGACATTTGCAATTGAGTATTTGACAAATGTAAACAATAAAATAAAGTTTTTATAATTTCGTGTGGATGAAGCCGCACTGGAACAGCTAGAGTTTTAATAAAAAGAAAATCGATAGTGCAAATGCAAACAGTGCTGTGGGAAATAGCACTTAAATAGCGCTGTAAAGTTTGTTAAAACTCGACACTGAGATCCTCTTGCACCTGAAAGTTACACTGACGTTGGAATTTTTAGAGAAAATATTTTCAAAGCCGGGCGGAGTATTTCCACCTTATAAGTGTTGGTGAATTGAAATATTATTCGAGCTATCGTCGCCTTATCGAGCGAGCGTTATTTGTGCTGCTTCCCTTCCGATATTACTAACGCCTTACCTGCAATCTATATTCTGTACTCTATTTTTATTATTCACACCTTTGAGTCAAAATACATTTTAAACATTTTCTAATATTAGTACTATTTTATTCGTAGGATTTTAAATACTCTCCCTAAAATGACCTTTTAAGAATGTGCATGTGGTTTTTAATATTGCGTGTCGTGTTAATTTTTTTAGGGTCAGTGTGTTTGCGTTTTGCTCTTTCCATTTAAAACACGTATTTAGTTGATTTTCGATTGATATGGTTTAATATTTTATTTTTTATAATAATATAAGGTGGCAAACGAGCAAGCGGCCGCCTGAATACGCACAATGGAATGCGACCGCTGCCCAATAAATATCCGCAATTGCAGATGCGTTGCCTACCCTTCGTTGACGGAGATAAAGACGCACATAAAGAGGTCATTTCCTATTCATATGCGTCTCCTCCACCGTCAAATCCACTTTTCCTTCCCATACTTTCCGCTTAAAAAAAGGGTGGAAAGGGAAAGGGACTAAAATTAGGCCTCCGTCACCACACTCATCAGACGAAACGCAGAATTGCTTCCACTTCACGTGTGTCTTCTGTGTGGTCGTTGTATTACACCGGGCGATCCGTCCCATTCGTGCGAAGATGTTAAAGCGGGTTCTACCACTGTAGAAATTACCTGACTTTATACAATTTTGTAACGCAAATTGAGACGAATCTAACTATTGTTAGCTAACACTATAATCTCTCAGTAAAGCATTACTAATAAAACCAGGGTCTAACGATACTGTCATTACTCGGGTTACATTACAAATGTAAGGTATAGTTAATTATATTAATTAAAGTAGCTATCATCTCGGCATTACGAGACTCCTGGGAGACGGATAGGCACTAATTAAGATAGGACTTACCGTACTTACTACTTAAATGTACTTTAGGGTCATAGTTGTTTAGCCGTGACATTTGCTTATCAACGTCTTATGAAGGTTGTTATTATTGATATTCATTTTGTTTTATAATTATTGGCTGTTCCAGTGCGACTTCTTCCGCATGAAATTATAAAAATTTTGTTTGATTGTTTTCATTTGTAAAATTCTCAATTGCAAATGTCAAAATTGCCGTTGCCATAACAACCTTGCTTCCTTAATGTTGGCAGCTTGTACTTTATGGTCCTTTTCCCAATTTCTTTACCCCCTAAGTTTAATTTAAACTAAAGCGTGTCGTAAGCGTAGGGCTTTTTATTAAAGAAAGAATTGTTCAAAAATATGCTGTGATTGCTGACATCCTACGCCGAGAAGTAGTGTGGGTTTACGCTTTATTATTAGTATAGATATAGATGTAAGGAAGTAATATCATAGATTTATTTACCGGTAACTATGTAGTTACAGTAATTCAAATTCTCATCAAGTATGTGTCCCCACTGAGGGGTCCGGGGCCTACCCTAAGTTTGTGTGGCTAGGCCTTAGTAAACCTCGCTGGCCCATTGCGGGTTGACTTCACACATATCTTTGAATTTCTTCACCGTAAGAACGTCGGGAAATTATGTACACATGAAATCTGTAAAATCGAAAATCTGTACATGGCGAGATTCGAACCCAGGACCTGTGGATTACAAGTTAAATGCTCAAATCTCAGCCACTGAACCTCTTATTTAAATTAGGGTTTGTACAAATTACGATAGGTCTCTGGTTGAATGCCAGTTTAAAGTCTTTCCTAGGGTCAAAGTTTCATGATTTTGTTCAGGACTAAAACCGTGGATAACATAATAAAGGCGAACTGCATGCCGGTGACCCGTATGACAAAGATCGTCATGCCTGGTATGAAGGAGCGAGGCGGTGGTGTGATCGTTAACATTGGCTCCGCATCCTCGGCTATACCAAGCCCTCTGCTCACCGTTTACGCTGCTTCTAAGGTAAGAATCAACTGACTCCAAAGTTAGTTGTAAGATTTTTATCTGACAATCGTTTTGACTAATTTTAGTGTAAATAGGTTTCGGTTGAAGATATTCCGCATATAATTTTTGTAAGCTTTGTGATATTTCATAATTTAATTGAAATTACCAAGGGTATAAAATATAGTCTTCAAAATGTTGATTCAAAAATTCTAGGTACCTTAGTTACAGCAGTATCTTTTTTAACTTATTCGACAAACTTGTTTACAGTACTATTGGAATCTTCTTTGGACACCGTTAGTCTCTCTTCAAGGGAGATAACTAGCGCTTTTAATGTATGTTAGCTTTGGCTTGCGATTCCGTTTGTGTGGAATTGAAAAATCTAAAGAAAGTAGCCTATATCTTCTTCCAGATACTACATAATATTTATTCGAAATACTTTCAGCCGTTTAGACTATAAACTCTAGCATCCATCCATTCAAAATTTTGAATTCATTAATGAGATTAGTAAGGTAGTAAGATTTTTATGATGAAAATATTTGTTTTATGCTTCAAAGTGTAAAACTACCATTTCTTTGTCTATTTGATTACATGACTGGAATGGCTAACGATGGTCAAATCCATTTGAGGTAAGAGTTCTAGGTAGTCTCTTGTTGTTGAGGCTTTCTGTCACGCTTTTCTTTCCTCTTCGATGTCTTCTCTTTTAGTTTCATGTTTATCGGTGTTTAGAGCCCTTTCAGGATGCGAAGGGCTTCTGTGTTCTCCAACGTAACAGATTGTAAAATAATTCTATTCCCTTGCAGGCTTATGTTGACAAGTTCACGGAAGGTATCAATATGGAATATAGCAAATACGGTATTATTGTCCAATGCGTATTGCCCGGTTTCGTCTGCTCAAATATGTCAGGGATTCGTCGAAGCACTTTCTTTGCACCTACCGCTAAACAATTTGTTAACTCCGCAATCAGACTCGTGGGAACAACGTGCAGAACAAATGGGTATTTTCCACACGCTTTGTTCGTGAAGACTCTCAACGCGTTACACGCTCTAACAGGACCCTTCCTGGTCTGGCTCGTCACAAGATCTATGGAAAACACGCGAAGAAAAGCTATGAAGAAGTATAAACAACAATAATTTTATTCACTAACCTTAGTGTTATTAGTAAAATATGATCTCTATCTGACCTTGTCTATACATGTGAAAAATAATTTATAATTCAAATTTGAATATCAATTGCTTTGTAATTTTCACACGTTTTACATAACAATAGAAACCTACGCTTAAGATCGTAACTGGTTTTTTGATTGAAATTGGAATATCTTATTTTTTGTTTTTAATGTACATTAATTACTTTTAAAAATATATATTTTTTTGTTGTGATTTTAGGTGCAATCTAATGGACAAGTTTATTTAGAGATCATTTTAGTCGAACTAATGTGTATTGAATGTAATATTACCTCTATGTGTAAAGCTACGTAAAACTCTTTGCCGGAAATATTTTGCATTACTCCAAGTCGATTGATTTCCTTTAATTTTGCTTATTATTAATTTATTTTCTTCTAATGTTTCCGCATCTTATTTCCGGCGTGTATTTAAATCTTTTAAACATTTTAATTCCAAATTCAAATCTTTTAATTTATTCAAAATATTCGAGGCGTTAACGTTGACTTAAAACATTAAAATCGTTATTACTTAATCTATGTCATTGTTTTATTTTTAAACAAATAAATAAGCAATTTTCTTTTGTTTTACTTTTGTTATCAAATGACATCTATTTGACGGTGACCTTGACCAAAGGTCATCTTTATATCTCAAAAATGTTTAAAGGATTTAAACTGCATGTGGTTGTTTTTCCGAAACCGTTTATTATAGCTGTTATATAATAAACTTATAGTACGTATACATATATAGACGCATGCATATCCTATCTCTTGCATGATATTTCACTTTTTAATACCAAAGATTAATATTTTGTATATAAAAAGTGCAATGAAATATAGTAAATGTAAGTTATATTAAGCAGGCTGTGCTTATTGCTCGCATTTTCCTATATTTAAGTTTTTTTACTTAGATAATTATTGGGTTTAATTTAGGTTTATGTGAATTTTAAATTAACTGCCAAACTGGTTGCTATGTTAACTTAGTTTTAATTGGGGTATTTTTATATTTTATTGCAGAGAGAAACTAGATTTTAAAAATACAAGAGGAAGTTAATAATAAACGCTGTATAATTTGATTGTCATTAGCTAGATTAATTTAATATCTTGCCTAAATGGGTTTCCCAATTTTGCCATTTTACATATGAATATTTTACTAAGAAAACAACGTAATTAAATATATATTCTAAAAGTATTACATTTGTCTTGATGAGTAGTAAATAATTCAAACATATGAATGTAGAAGGAAAATCCCAGAAATGTATAAAAAATAGGTGTCTATAACTATTTTAAAGTCGTAGAAAAATAGCAATTCAATGTTGTCAAGGTTTCCATTATACAGTTAGTTTCCATTGTCTAAAGATACGTAGAAAAAAATGTCTATGATTATTTTAAAAGAATGAGTGTGACGACTATATGAAATGACATTTCATTTACAGTTAGCGTGGATTTGGTTTATTGTATAGATTGTAAATATGCACTGTCTTCAGAGGGTATTGGAAAATGTGATTTAACACCTTATGCTTCGGTTGGTTTTAGAATAAGCAACGACTGGTTATTTGGTAAGGATATGACAGTGCATTATAATTAATATGGGAACTGTAGAGAAATTATAAAAATAAATATGCTTTAGCAAAATTGTCTTTCAATTATTGTAAATATGCTTTGTTTCATCACAATGTGAATAAGGGCCCCTACACACTATACCATAAATTGGCAGGTTCAGAAGTATGTTTGGTTACTTCACCTAACATTATTATCGACCGAATACTGAAACTAACTTTGAACATTCGTTTTAAAAATTTTAATTAAGAGGTTAAGTGTGACCTTATCGTTTAAGAATAACATATTTAAATGTCGTTTCAATATTTGGCCGTATGTAATGATATCAAATTAAATTATGTAGAACATACATATTTTACAAATTTAATAAACTCTGTCTCGTTAAGGAAGTCGTGAACATAATTATCTTGTAATTCTGTAGGATTGTGAGTTCGTATACAAAGATCTTTGGTTTCAATAATTTGTACAGATACGGTGATGGTTTAAGTAAAGTAAGTATATGTAAATACTGTATATTTAAGTTATATCTATACTATCTAATGCCGCGACTCCAAACTCATGGATTAAAGTAAGTAGCCTGTGTTCTTTCAGACTATGTTCTCCTCTATGCCAAATTTCGACTTAGGGTCCTTCAAGAAGCGAGCCTACAATTTCCTCAAAGACCGGCAACGCATCTGTAGTTCCTCGGGTGTTGCGAATGTCCATGGACGTCGTTGACCACCTCTGTGTTACTGTCGCTCGTTTGCCCCCTTCTTTTAATCCGTTAAGCGGTTCTACAGATACCTTCTAACAAACTTCTATCCATCTAAACTTTTGCATTAATGATAGTAAGAAGTATGGCTATAAAATAAATTGTAGAATTTATAAAAAAGTAGCCTATGTGTTTTTCCAGACTTTGCTCTACATCTATGGCAAATTTAATTAAATTCCGTGCAGCAAACAAACTAACTAACATCCATCGAAACTTTCGCATTTATAATATTACGATATGATGAATCTTATAGCATGTAATATAGAAATACACATTAACAACTATGATATTAATAAAAAGTTATATCTCCTACAAATTTTGTAAACTATGTTAAAGTATTTTTAAAAAAAATTAATATTTTAAAAATGCTTTCTTGCAGGAGAGGAAAATCGCTTGTCTCAAATGCATGACGCGGTCTACTAGCGTTATACAAGGAAAATTCAAGTTGTTTTTGTTATTAATAATGTTATATTATTTATTAATTTTCGTTTCATTTTTCCTTAGTTTTAAAATTGCTGAAACAATGTTTTAAAACTTTAGAAATTCACCTACACACAAGCACTACCTTTCGGATAAAAAAAGAATTATCAAAATCGGTACACTAGCGGCAGAGTTATGCTGTAAGACACATAAAAAAACATAAGGACTAGTACCTCTTTCTTTTGGGAAACTCTTATAAATGTCGATATTCGAAATGGCGGACGCTTCGCCATTTTGGCGGATTCACGTGGCCGCTTGCTCGTTTGCCTTTGCCACCTTTTGTTATAAAAAAAAAACGTTCCGGTACAAACGTGATATGAATGAAGTGAATTTGATTAAAGAAATTATGGGTTTAAAATATAATATTCATTATTAATAAACTAATACACCCTGTTCACAATATATTCAGGTATTCAATTTGCATATCTATTTGTTTTTTTCCCTTGTAAGTTAATTACGTGCATTAACAATTCAACGCAGATTTGCGGGCGTTTTGTTTTTTATTTTGTCATGCTAATTCCGTTTGTACCGGCCAGGTATAACAAACGAAGGGATACTGTTGGATTTTATTTTGATGTCAATGACACAGTATATTGGTGTCTTTAAAAATATTTTAGACTAGCTGTTACTCGCGACTTCGGCCAAGTGAAATAAAAATATGACCTATGTTACGATAACGTAACTTCTAATGGTGTAAGAATTATTAAAATTGGCCTAGTAGTTTTGTATAGTGAGTTATTTCAATACTTACAAGTATACAAATCTTTTCTCTTTCTAGTAATCTTAATAGCAAAGAACTAAAAATTACTATAAGCACAGATGTACGCATTTTTAAATTATTAGTATTAAATGAGCAAGCGGCCGCTGGAATTCGCCGGAATAGCAAAACGACAGTTGCCCATATACATAATTGTAGATGCGTTTACTAATTTTATTAACTCACAGAAAGAGGATATTACTCCTACCAATGCGTCCCCTTTACTGAATACATTTATGAAGAGGACTAAAGTCCTCCGACACGCTAATACAATGGAAACAGAGAGGCGAAAGAAATGTTCCAAAATTGCGATAAATAGAAATCCTTAATATCTACCAAACCCTGTAGAGTACGAGCGTGAGTATATGCTTTTTTGAAACCGACATCTCAACATGTCATGACATTTAAAAACTTGCCTATGGTTTACAGTAATTTTTAAATGGACGCTGGCTGGTTACCGTAAATAAAAAGTTGTTTTCCGTCTATGGTTAACATATTGACAATTGACAATGACATGTCAACAACATGAAGAAAATTAAAAATAAAGGCTAATAATATGAAATAAAAACGATATTCAAAATGTAAAGTTTATCAGAATCATGAGTAAATTGAAATCTTCAAAGAAGAATGTTCGCAGTCCACAGGAATTTTGCGTAGACCTAAATCAAGTGTTAGTGGTTCTAGCAACTGTAGTAATTCTACTAATTCTATGGCTACTAGTGTGTCATGTAGTGGATGGAAGATGATTATCGAAGAGAACTGTCCATAACTAGAATTAACAGCTAAAGTAATTGAAAATACCTTGAAATTGATGGATCATGTGTCAACTCGATATAACCAAGGTTCCTCACGATTATTTAATGGAAGAACGCTAAAAATGTAGACTCATTACATTGTAATATAATAAAATGACGTTAATCAGAAATATAAATTTTATTTGACTGGTGAGTTATGTTTTAAAATGTTGTGTATTTAAATACAGTACTATGTCATAGTATTTTATTTTATTTTTTTTACTAGCTGTTCCCATGCGACTTCATCCGCATAAAATTATAAAAAATTCATTTTATTGTTCACATTTGTCAAATTGTCAATTGCAAATGTCAAAATGACATGACATCTCAAACCATGGCAACTTTGCTTCCTTGATGTTGGCGACAACTTATGGTCTCTTTCCCACATTGGGGTTTTTATCCAAAATTTTACCCCCTAAGTTTAATAGCGTGAAAATATATAGCCTAAAGCGTGACGTAAGCGTAGGGATTTTTATTAAAAAAAGAGTTATTGGAAAATATACTGTGACTTCTGACATCTTAGGCAACAAAGAAGTGTGTGTTTACGATTTATTATAATAGTATAGATTAGTGCGTATAGCTTGTTCATGTATGTTAAATTATGAGGTCTACGTTCAGTATTGGACGACCTCAGGTGATGGCAATGATAGTGATGATGGAATTAAAACAGCGATTAGTTAATTTATAGAAACTACCTGTAGCTCTCGACTTGGTCATGTTACTCACTGATAACGTAGCCTTTTAATTATGTCAGATTTTTTAAAAACAGCCCACTAGCGTTTTGAGTTATTTCAATACATATTAAAATACAAATCTTTCTACTTTACTATATTAGTAAAAAAGTATAAGATGACTTTCAACGTGTTATAAAACTACAAATAATTTGTTCTTATATTTTTTAAAAATTAAAAAAGTTCGGACAGGTATACATAAATCAAATTAATTCTAAACATACGTTTCCGAGCAAATTGTGGGGGACCGCATATTTTGAGAACACCACAGACCCAAATGAAAACGTAATTGCAATCCTCGTTTTAGCGCTTCGTCTACATTTAAAATTCGGAACGCTTGTTAATATTATCAAAGGGGACGGTTTTATACAGGGGAAAAGCTGGTGAACATTGTCAGCCTTCATAAATGTATACATACACTTTGTTA